AATTTCCATTTATAGAAAATTTCTTAAAAGGGGGATACTAAATTTTTTGATAAATTAAAGCATTTAAAGATTTTTGATTAATGGTTATTTTTCTAAAAATAACAGATCACTTTTATAGAACTGAAAATTATAAATAGTTTCCTTGGATACTGTGCTTATATTTAGAAAAAATTTAACAATATCAAAAGTATATTCTCACTGTTTAAGGATATCTTACAGTTTGTTTCAATCTTTTTATATCAAGTACTTCATATGCAGCTTTTACTATTCAAGTGAATATTTCTTTACACTTGGGTAGACCTTTTTCATTCCGAATATAGAATGTAGCCAACAAAAATCACAAACTTTTTTTTTGACAACAGTTGGATATTGAACAAAGGGTAGTATTAAAAAACTCTTTAATATCACATTTTATCTAAAATGTTTTTGAATGAAAATGATCAAAGGGGCTTTTTAATACATGACACAAAAGGTAAACATGAGTAACAGACATTTAATATCATCTGAAAACATTTTTTTAAAATGCAATTCTGAATGTAGAAATGTATTGTTATACATGCGCATGATTTATGTGTGTTGTTGTGAAAAAGTACACCCAGTTTTGGTGCATTTTGCACGTTATTATATACCTCAGAAAGACAGCATCCTATATTGTTTTTAAATTTAACCATATGCTGTTTTAGTAATCACTTCAATTTTGGTAATGCTTCCATGTTATTGTGTAGCTTTGTTAGCATTGGCAGACAGAGATTTTTGGTGGAAGAGTTGTTGAAATGTTGGTAAGCCATGTTATGGGAAGACAGTGAATGCATTATCAGACTTTAGACAGCCACTGGTAGTCAACTATGCCATTGTAACATTTTATGATTATAAATTCTTATTTTATTTGTTTTGCCATTGAGAAATCCAGTAATTTAGGGATTTTATTCTTCATGTAAAGTCAAGAGAGTTTAGTCTGATGTGATCCTTAGCTGATCAAGAGATATGCACTTCCATCCTGTTTTGTTTGTTCCTTTTTCAAGTACAGTAGCCAGCCATACATAGCTTTTTTATTTAGAAATAATTTTATTCCCTTATACATGTTTACTAATGTTCAACAGGTTTGTGTCTATAGAGTGAGTCTTTGAAATAATTAAAAAGAAACTGTTAATTTATATTAGTTTATGCATTTCTTTCCCTTCTGTTTAGAAAGGTCCAATAAATATATCTCTCAAGAAGGGTGATGAGCCCCACGTCAAAGATCGAATACTAGTGTCAGAAATATGGCCAGGAGATGGTATTCCACTCAAAGGAGAACTTCAGGAAGGCGATGAGATCCTGATGATTGAGAACACTCGGCTTAAGAATAAGTCTTTAACCATTGCTAATGCAGCTTTAAGAGATGCTGTGTCTAATTCTGATGTAAGTTATGTGTTATTCATTATTATAGAAAATTCCAAACATTTCTCATATCTTTTAAAAGTTTTATGCTGTAAGAGTGTATGCAAAAAAATGTAAATGTCTAATTTCTTAAGTTTGACTTTTGAAACAGAAGACTTTAATGAAGAAAAGAATTGATATATTTTTCTGCTTATGTCAAAAATATGCCAGGCCTCTTGTATATACTTGTTTAAGAAACCTCAAACTATATTTTTAGAGAAAGAGTCAAAGCTGCATAAGCATAATATACAATTTTTGTTTTTGATTCCACAATGAGAAAAAATAATTTAATACTTTTTTCTTTTCAGGAATATTTTCAAATCATATTTACAAAACGAGCATAGTTAGGAACTTAATGTAAGTACTGCTTACATGACAATGGTTGGCTTTGAATGTTTTATTTTTTATCTTAGAGTTTAATACAGTGGACAGGATAGCCTAGTGTGACCAACAGGTCATATGTTGTCCTTAAATTATATGTACATGTACAATGTATATATGTATAATCTTTCCATGTGCCTAGTGTACAATATATACAACATGTTACCACATCTAGAGTACTTAATTAGCTGTTACAAACACTTTCTGTAGAATAATGTTAAAACAAATGAGGTACTAAACTTTTAACATGCTTTTTAGCATTAATCAAAACAATATTATAAGTATGAGTATAAGTATTCATATGTTCATCAAGCCTTCCTTTAAACTCCCTTAAGTTAACTGTATAAACCACATCTGAAGACAACCCATTCAAAGGCAAAACACCCTGTTAGGAAAATACAGTTATCTTAGCTGAAGATGGCTCCTACCCTGCCAAATTTATATTTGTGTCTTGTAGTCTTACCATTAAGATGATACAGCTACGCTATCCATTCCCTTAATAATCTTAAACAACTCAGTCAGAGATCTTAATGTATCCTCACATAACAGACATTCCATCCCAGATATCATCCTAGTAGCCTTCCTCTGAACCCTTTCTAAGAATTCAGTGTTCTTTCTAAGCTAAGGAGCCCAAGAGTGAACACAATACTCCAAGTATGTCCTAAAGACGGACCTAGACAATGACATTAAAACATCTTTAGAATTGTATTCAATATTTCTGTAGATACAACCAAAAATTCTATTTACCCTGCCACTAGGAACAGCACCAGAGGTGTCACTAGGTGCTTAAAAGATTCAGGGCTTGGCTCATAGGCATGGGAATTTTTGGCATTTCAGTGTGATATTAATCATGGTTTTTCTATTCTGATTTTTAAAGACACCAACTCTGGATTAGGGACATACCAAGTAGAATTGGAGCACATGCTCTGTGTGTCAGTGCCTAGCAACATCTCTGAACAGCACATTGCTTAGATGGCTTAAGAGACTGATCAATTAGAACACCGGGATCCTTGAACAGTGGCTGATTGCAAAAGCCAGTTAAATACCAAATTCACTTTAGTATCTTTTAGAATAGTCACTGTGTTAATACCAAGTACATTTCAATAAGTTGTATAAAGTCACTTATAGAAGCTTCTTAAATACAATAAACATTTGAGTACTATCTAAAAAAAAACTGAATGTGGTAGCTTTTTAATCTTAAACACCAGACAATTAGCTATCATCCAGAAATAAACTGATAAAGTAGCTTCCTGCATACACAAACCTACACACTTAAATACCATCTATAAATAAACTGATAAAGTAGCTTCCTGCATACACAAACATACACACTTAAATACCATCTATAAATAAACTGATAAAGTAGCTTCCTGCATACACAAACATACACACTTAAATACCATCTATAAATAAACTGATAAAGTAGCTTCCTGCATACACAAACATACACACTTAAATACCATCTATAAATAAACTGGTAATGTAGCTTCTTACGTACATAAACACA